GTAGATGTGAAATCTGAACGCTCTCTAACCAGGGGCATCCAGTAGTGTGGTGGAGCTAGCTTGCTCACAAGAGCACATCTCTTCCCGATTGCTAGCTCAGGGGTATCACAGTGGGTAGCTTGAAACCAGCCATGGTGTGAGTATTTACACCACGGAAATTGGCAAATGCTACAGTCAAACACTTCTGTTTTCAGAGATCTGGTTATTAAACATTTACCAGCACACCACTGGTTGCACTCCAGGCTGAGCTCTGGACAGTCAAAGAAACTAGCTCTCACCCTGGGTGAGAAGGGGCAGTATGGCATGAACTCAGCCTCTCTGTAGAGCCACAGACGGCTGTGAGCTTCTGGGAAGTGTCTGGCTCCCCAGTAGGGTGGCACTGGGCTCTGTTCTCAGAGACACTTCTATTTGACAGCCCCGTGCGTGATGCAGGTCAAAAGCAAATAGGCAAAGCATCTGAAGCTTTTTAAGCTCTGGATATGGCAGCTGGCTTCGTGCTGCAGAAGCTGGAGAAGAGTGGGTCTCCTGGGAGAAGCAAGCTCTCCCCCGTTGCAAGCATCTACTGGGGCACTTGTCAGGTGTCTCGCAGCTGGTCTGCAGGCTGCTGCTCGCCAGCCTGGCTGGCAGGCAGGTGGGCCTGGGTTTGTGCTGCAGTGCCCTGCCAGGAGCCTAGGAGCAGGCTTCCTTTGCTTTCCTCTTCCCTCCTAAAGCCTGGTAGAAATCAAAGAGCCAACACAATTGAGGTCACTGGCAAAAGAGTTTGAAATTTTGAATGACTTTTATTAAACACCATTAGTCTACACTGCACAGTTAATGAAACAGCAAAGCTCCAATCTGGTAGAAGAATGAGGATTGCTCATGGATCTGAAAAGCAGTTCTGTGGCCCCTAACCCAACATGAGCCCTCCGAATGATTCTTGAAACATCTCGTAGCAGAAGTAGAAAGGGCGAGGATTGCAGTCTGCTCTGGAGGGGCTTCCAAACCCTCCACCCCCACCCTCACCCCACCCACCGCCCTCCCCACAATGCAATTTTCTGGTAGTTGATAGATTACAGAGAACAATGTAAAGAGGGCTTCTAATTTGTGAGGAGGAGAATGGAAAGGCAATGAATGCTTTTTTCTTGCCCCAAAAGTTCTGAGACCAGCTTCTGATGAGCCCCTTGCCAGGGTGAATGCTGATTATCAATACACAGATGCCATTTCCATTGTTGGAGTTTGCTAACACCAAAGTGAAGATGAATCAGAGTTTAATTATGAGAATAAGGCTGTGCGAGTGAAAATGACAAACACCGACGACGACAACAACGAATTTAGTCTGCCAGTCGTGTAACAGAGCACTGACAACTGGCTCAACATCTTCCCCCACAGAACTGAATCTGGGGGCACTGAATCAACCCACTCATTTGCTATTGTGTAGCTATATCATGTCGCTACACATTTTCTCGATGGGGATAGTGATGCTTCTCTAAGCAAGTAGGTCATGGCCTTACGGACTAGTCCTACCCAGTGATCCAGTTTGGTTCTCCCACCCACCAATTCATGCAGGTGAACTTGATCATGTCTATTGACAAGTATGTGGGTTTTCACCCTCACAGCTAAATCAAGTCTGCCTTCGAAAATGATTTCCAACTTCAAACTCCAACTTCAAAATCTGGGATGCAAGTTTGAGTAAAACAAAATCGGAATTAGATAGCTTCTGGAAAGATATGGTGGGATAAGTATCTTTCCAGTGCCGACTGAATCCAACACGCTTAGTGATATCATGTCCATATGACAATCCACCCATTTGCAAATGCAACAAAGCACACTTTAGCCAATGATTTCTAATTTAGCAACTTGCTTATGAAGATTTGGATCTTTTTATTTCATTACATGGAAAAAAGGCATCCCAACCTCAAGTCTTTTAAAAGTAGCAGCAGCTAATCTGCCTTTCCAATTATGTCATCCAAATATAAAGCTACTAGTATCTTCCCAATGAGATTATTAAGTAATTAACAGTCTACAGGCTGGCTAACAACATGCTTACGGCTAAATTCTACCCTGAGGACCACACTAGTAAACTCTTTTCAAATTAATCCTACCTACCAAACTCAGACAGTAAAATGACAAAACCACTAAAAAATCCAAAGGGAATTAAAAATACAAAGCCAAGCCAACATCATGACACAAACTTGTCAAACTCTCTGTGGTTGGGGCTTGGGTGACAAACGAAGGCATAGTGGTGGCCCTCCCTGGACCACACTGCAGGGCTGAGATCTTTCCAGGTCCTTGCTTGGGCGACTCTGCCCATTACCCTACCTCCATATGCTTATTTCCATGTGTCTCCCCAAGCCTCCATCAAGGTCTAGGGAGAGGTGAAGGGACTAAATCCAGAGGCAGAATCTTGACCTGCCATCCACATGTTTCATATCCCTGCCACAAACTGATGCAATGAAGAGATTTACTTGACAAAATAATATCACCATCCCTCCAAGAGCTGCATACTGAGGACACCGACACATCACCATTTACAATGTAACGAACAGAGTGCCTGGAAAACAGCAACAATCCTTCATCATGGCCCTGAAAGAGTCCTGTGGGAGAGGACTCCAATTCATCCTCCCTGTTTAATTGGTTTCTAAGCTGCTTTTAAGTGAGTCAACCACATAATCAGGTGGTGATCCTGAGCTCAACTCTCAGACTTGGTCATCGTGCTGCTGACTGGGCACACACTTCACACTCAGCCACCAGGGGTGACATCAGGCAGCAAGGTGACCTGCTGCCTCCCTGTTGTATGTAAAGTAGATGGAACAACTCGCTGAAAGGAAACTAGAGCTGCAAATCTTTACCCACAGGTAATATGCTGGTTTCCCAGGGAAACTGCCCTTAACAATCTAATGTCTAGTTTCTGGAGTTTGAATTTCAAGAAGATTCTACTCCTAGATCCACGATGGTTTAGGATCCTGGTCTAGGTTGGATTGTAAGTCAGGCCAGTGGGCTTCGTTAGATTGAAGAGCCAGGGACTCGACCTGGTAAGCCGTGGAAAACAAAGCGAGAACTTGAGTTACTGCAAAGTCATCAGCTGACTTTGGTATGTGACACCCAAAGATGTGAAATAAGTGGCTTGGGTGTTCATAGTCTTCCATATTATCGTTTTCCTCTCTCCAGAGGATTCTCTTGGATTTAAGTTTTGTGTTTGTGTGTGTGCGCACATGAGTGCTGTTGTCGCGGCTGCAAAAGTAAAGCTCAACCACAGGGGGAGCCTGGAATATGACCTCCACAACGAAGGGCCTGAAGCTCGAAGACCCCGAGCAGAGCTCCAGGCTGGCTCTTTTCAAATGGGGGAGATGTCTAACCTTGACAATGAGAGTGCAAGGTGACCACTTGCTGTTCCTATCACAGACCTGCATGACTTGCTTTACAAATCATACAGGTTTGCATCTTTTATGTGCATGTATCTATTATTTATCTGGCCATAACACAGTGAACAGAATTGAAGAACTCAGCAGATTAAAAGGCTATGTGGAATTATATACTGGAAGTAATTGCAATTAACTGACGTCTGGACAGTGTTTCCTACACACGGAGGATTCTTCTGGTGAGCTGGAATACCAAAGATGGTATTTACATTGTGATGTTTGGGAACATCAGATGAAGGTGGAGTGTCATAAGGGGTGCGGATAGTCACAAGTGATGGGGTTATGTCTCCAAATTAGGTGAACTGTCCACAATCTTCAGGGCTCTCTAAAAGTACCCCACAGTGAAGCACTACCCCAAGCCTTTTTTTTTTTTTTTTTTTTTTTTAAGGCTAGTTACTACTTAAAGAGTTTAGAGTTTTCTTTGGAATTTCCATGGAAGTGTTTCATGCTAATAGAAACTTTAATAGAATCAGTGATTGTATTTCAGTCAAAAACTAATGAGCCAGAAAAAGAAAAGGGAAAGGAAAAGAATATAAAAAGGAAAAGAAAGAAGAAAAGAAACGCTGTAAAATTAGGAAATGTGGATAATAATTGGGGAAGTCCAGATTTGAAAGCCACTAAGAAATGAGTTGTATATTATTTCTTCTAGGTAGTGATAACTTAATACTTGTTTCCATAGATTTGAGCAAAATAAAATGAATAAATCCTACCCGTCTTGACCCACCCACTGACTACAAAGAAGGCAGAGGTGTGAGTATAGCATTCTAGCTACTAGGGCAAGCATCTACCCAATTGCTCCTCAAAAGGGGAGCTTTGCACAAAGAGAATCCCAGGTGAGGATTTACATTTCAAATCATGGAGCTCAAAACTGTATATGCCAGCTGATGTCTTAGGGTTGTAGAAATCAATGGTACCACTCTGTTTCATCATTACAATTTGAGCAATGGACAATCAGAAATGGATGCTAATAAATAAGGCTTTGGCTGCATGACAGAGCATCTTTTAAAAGTGAGCATTGCTATGTTCACTTATTTTCTTGACACCCTTGATTCTATGATGTTGCTATAACACCTAGCCACTGGGTTTTGACAATCGAAATTCTCACCGGAAGATTGAGTCTGTGGGAAGTACAAAAGTTTAACAATGGATTCTGAAATATGTTCTTTTCTGGCATAAGAATATAGTTTGGGGATGAGCTATGGCTGAAAATTTGACTCTTTGCAGGTCCTTTGTGTCTTAGTTCTCATAGGTGTGTGAGATATCTTGTTTCATTTCTCAGGAATTTGTTATCATCACAAGTGCTTTCTGTTCTTTGTTTTAGGTAGTGTAGGGACTATGTCATTCCATAAAGCACAAAAGGATGGTGGGATCTGAGGGATGTATAGAAAATATTGAAAAATGACTAGGTAATAAAACATACATTGCTCTCAAGTTGTAGTGTCCACTTACAATGAGTTCTGTTTTTCACAGACATCAAAAGATGTATACAAACAAACATAATTGAAGAGAACTTTCCCAAATGAGTGGAGTTCCACCAGTGACCGTTGGGACGCTGGTAGAGGTAGAGTGATGGGTGGTGATGTGAAGCATGGGGTGTACCCACTACAATAAATGGGCATCGATGCGCAGCCAACACAGTCCCTGGCGAACGTAGCGAACAAGATTGGTCATACTGCTGTGCTGGGTCAGAGGCCCCATCAACGTGTCCAGGTCGCCAAAGAATTCTGAAAATCAGAGCAGACCTTGGTCAAGCCTTTGAAAGAGATCACAGATATATGCTCCAGATCACAAGCGGCCTTCATACAACTGCACAACCATGTGGACATTGGGAAAGTTAGTCATTTGCTCATTTGTTCATTCATTCATCCATTCATTCAACAAATATTTATGGAGTTGCCTTACTAGGGGACTAAAACTCCATATGTATATCAAGCACTGTTATTTTAACATGTATTTAGCTGCCAAACCTCAGCAGTACGAATAATACTTGTAGGTGTTACTGTGATTAATAAAACACAAATTCATTTAAATTTGTTACTTAATACATAGCATTTTTAAAAAATTTTATCACTGTATATTTTATCAGACAGTGGATTCTAAATTACAATCCTGTGGAGGTTTATGATATGTATGTGTATAGAAATAAATATATACATGAATCGATTTTGTTGCTGTTGTTAGAAGCCACTGGGTTGGTTCCGAATCATAGTGACCCTGTGTACAACAGAAACACTGCCCAGTCCTGCACCATCCTCACAATTGGTGCTGTGTTTGAGCCCACTGATGTCGTCATTGTGTTAATACATCTCATTGAAGGTCTTTCATCTCCCTTTTTTTCACTGAACCTCTGCTTTTCCAAGCAGGATGTCCCTCTCCAGAACAATCCCTCTTGATAACGTGTCCAAAGTAGCAGAGGCTAAGTATTAGTATCCTCGCTTCGAAGGAACATTCTGGCTGTACTTCTTCCAGGACAGATACGTTCCTTCTGGCAGTCCACGATATATTCAATATTCTTCATCAACACTATAATTCAAAGGCATTGATTCTTCTTTGGTCAAACCTATTCACTGTCCAGCTTTCGTATGCATATGAGGCTATTGAAAATAGTACGGTTTGGGTTAGCAAAACCAGACCAAACCCACTGCCGTCGAGTCAGATCAGACTCATAGCAACCCCTCCTTGGGTTTCTGAGGCGGTATCACTATGGAAGTAGATAGCCCAATCTTCCTTCCGAGGAGTCTTCAAAGTGACATCTTTGCTCTTTAACACTTTAAACAGGTCTTTTGCAGCAGATTTACCCAGTGGTGCAATAGGCGTTTGATTTCTTGACTGCTGTTCTATAGGCATTGATTGTGGTGGTTCCAAGTAAAATGAAATCCTTGATAACTTCACTCTTTTTGCCATTTATCATGATGTTGTTTATTGGTCCAGTTGTGGGGATTTTTGTTTTCTTTATGTTGTGTCAGTAAGTGCTTCAGGTCTTCACTTTCAGCAAGCAAAGTTGTGTCATCTGCATATTGCAGGTTGTTAATGAGTTTTCTTCAATCATGATGCCACATTCTTCTTTATATAGTCCAATGTGTCAGATTATTTGCTCAGCATACAGACTGAATAAGTATGGTGATAGGATACAATCTTGACGCACACCTTTCTTGATTTAAAACCATGCAGTATCCCCTTGTTCTGTTTGAACGACAGCCTCTTGGTCTATGTACAGGTTCTTCAGGAGCACAATTAAGTGTTCTGGAATTCCCATTCTTTGCACTATTTTCCATAATTTGCTATGATCCACACAGTTGAATGCCTTTGCACAGTCAATAAAACACAAGTAAAGATCTTTCTGGTATTCTTTACTTTCAGCCAAGATCCATCTGACATCAGGAATGTCGTTCCACACTCTCTTCTGAAACTGGATTGAATTTCTGGTAGTTCCCTGTTGATGTACTGTTGCAACTGACCTTGAACTATGTTCCGCAACATTTTACTTGTGTGTGATATTAATGATAATTGTTCTATATTTTCTGCATTCTGCTGGATCACCTTTCTTTGGAATGGGGACAAATATGGATCTCTTCCAGTTGATTGGCCAGGTAGGTGCCTTCCAAATTTCTTGGCACAGATGAGTGAGGGCTTCCATTGTTGCATCTGTTTGTCGAAAGTTCTCAGTGAGTGTTCTGTCGATTGCTGGAGCCTTGCTTTCTGCCAATGCCTGCAGTGCAGCTTGGTCTTCTTCCTTCAATACCATCAGTTCTTGAGCATGTGCGTCCTCCTGAAATGGTTGAACATCAACCGATTCTTTTTGGTACAATGACCCTGTCTATTCCTTCCATCTTCTTTTGATGTTTTCTGCCTAGTTCAATATTTTCCCAATATTTTCAATATCGCAACTCAAGGCTTGCTATTTTTCTTCAGTTCTTTCAACTTGAGAAATGCTGAGTGTGTTCTTCCCTTTTGGCTTTTTAATTCTAGGTCTTTGCAAATTTCATTGTAATACTTTACTTTGTCTTCTTGAGCTGCCCTTTGGAATCTTCTGTTTGTGTCTTTTATTTCATTTTTTTTCCATTCTTTTAGCTATTCTCCATTCAAGAACAAGTTTCTCTGTCTCTTCTGACATACATTTTGGTCTTTTCTTCCTTTCCTGTCTCTTTTACGACCACCTGTCAATTTGCCATACTGTAGTGGCTTGCATATTGCTGTGTTGCTGGAAGCTATGTCACCAGTATTTAAAATACCAGGTGGGTCACCCACGGTCAACACGTTTCAGCGGAGTTTCCAGAGTAAGACAGACTAGGAAGAAGAATGTGATGGTCTGCTGAAAATCTTATGAATAGCAGTGAAACACTGTCTCCTTCGGGAGAGGGGTAACTATGTGGGAAAAAGTATGTGACGTCTGAAACTTGTTAGATGCCTCTTTTACATGTTGGCATTGCATTAACCTTGCAGTCAACTTGACTCCATGTGAGCACTCTCTGGCATCCTCTTTCTTGGTTCCTGACAGAGGAGGCTACCTCAGCCATGGGGAAATCATGCCTGTGTTGGCTGGGGGTGAGGAAGCCAAGTAGGGGAAACTAGAGACTGCCCTAGAGTGGTAGGACACCCTCCTGCCTTCTTGGAAAGCAATTTCCATGCCTGGGTTACATGAACTTGATTGCTCAGCAGATGGTATTTCACTAAACACTGCCTTTATTATTCGTGTTATGTATAACATATGGGCCGTTCTCTAGGTATCAACTTCATTTGATTATGTGATACTTTTTAACCTGTACTATGCAATAAAAATAATTTCTGCTGATAAAGGAGTAAATTATTTTTGGCATCTAATATATTTTCTTATGTAATGTAATATCACGGGAAATGTTAAAGGAACTAGTCATTGTTGAATGAATGGGAGCCCACGCGAGCCAGACATCCCCTGGATATTCTGTACAAGGCTCTTAACTAGATACCAGGTCACTGTCTTTAATAATGGCTTCAAGGGAGCAGTATAAGCAGCTGGGAGATAGAGCACAAGTCTTCTAGATCAGTGCATCATCAGCCTGAATGGCCCATTTCAAACACTAGATCCTTCTGCAATATGCCATCTGTGGCTGTGTGGGTGGGCAGGCATGGAGGGTTTCAGGACCTCCCACTGGGGAAACCAATCTCACCCATCTCTATGGCATACTTGAGCGGGAAAACATTCAAGTGCAAGGTTATCCCAAGTAGAATGCAGAGTACCAATCACAAAGGAAGGTCTTAGTTGCCCATTTTTATCATTTTTGGTAAAGTGGAGGGTCAGAGAAAAAGAGGAAGACCCCTTAACGAGATGGATTGACACAGTGGCTGCAATGATGGGCTCAGGCACAGCAAGGATTGTGAAGATGGCGCGGGACCGGGCAGTGTTTCGTTCTGTTGTACGTGGAGTCACTGTGAGTCAGAGCCAACTTGACACCTAACAACAATAGGGACAAGACAGATGTGGAGAAAAACCCAAAATCTAAGCATATTAGAAATGATTAGCATGCGGCCCCATTGCTGCAACCAAAAGATTCCAAACTAGGTCCTCTACCCAGTCCAGCGAAAAGCCCTATGACACAATCAGCAGGAAATATTTTCTCTCCTCTGCTGGAATGCTAGAGTTGGTTTGATTCAATATTCAATATTGACACACCGTGCTAATGACAAGATTAGCACCATCTCACCCTAACGTTGGCACAGCCACCACATTTCTCTTGGATTGTTCTGCAGTTAATTTAGAAGGAATGACTTGAACAGATTTTGAAAATGGATGCAATTATGAAGGAAATCCATAAATATTGAACTGCCCTACAGTTACCAATACAAAATAAGACAGAGAAGGGTGGAGGCAGGCAAGCTCGGCAAGTCTTAAGATGCTCATATTTTCACTTGGAATTCCAGAACCCTTAGATGGGCATAGTTCTCTGGGCCAATTTTCTCTGGATTTTCAGAAACCTAGAAAAGTAGACAAGTCACGACTTGCCTATTAGTCAGGTAACAGAGGGTACAATTTCACTGAAGGTCCCCAAGGACCATTATTAATCTTGCTCTCTATATGGACAATAAAGCCTAATGGTTAGTTAAGAGTTGAGATAATGGAATCAGATCTAGATCCAATTCATGTTTCCAACATTATGAGCTGTGAGATCATGGGTGAGTTTCTTAACCTCATTGAGCCCTGGTTTCCTTATCTATAAAATAGTGATAAAGGAGACAAGCAATGATAAAGGAAATACTGCAGTGCCTGGCATATAGCAGGCGTTGCAAAATGCTATCTATGATCACTGAATCTGCTGCACGAACACATGTAGCCAATACGTGCAAACAACCTCAGGAGTCAGCGTAAGTTTATAGCTCGACTGAGGGTCAAAGTTTCAAATTGTGGAAAGTGCTTCGATAGCCACAGAATCCTTGAGTTATATAACCAGTGGCTGTTGAGTTCTCCCTGACTCATGGTGACCCCATCGGGTTCTCAGTGACTGACTTTTTTGGAAGCAGATCACCAGGCCTTTCTTCCAAGGTGCCTTTGAGTGGATTCAACCCTCTGACCTTTCAGTTAGCAGTTGAGTGTATTAATCATTTGTACCACCCAGGGACTTGCGAGTTACATAGGTGTGTAATAATGGGGTAAGGAGAGAGAACAAATATTCATAGGGTTTCCACCTTCCACTCGGTATTTTATGCTACGTGCTTTATATGTATTAATTCACCCATCTCTACTCCTTCTGGGTAGGTTCCATCATCGTCATTACGTCCACTATACAGATGGAGCTGGGAGCTGGCAGGTGGCTCAGAGAGTTGAAATAACTTGCCTAAGATCGCCTGGCTAGAGCATGAATCAGGCAGGTTCACACTAAAATGATCAGTCTTCAAAATCTGTACTCTCCATCACCATTTGGACTGTTTCCCCACATGCTCAGTAATAAAACTTTTAATGCATGAAAGGCCTGTTATGGGTAGCAGGGAGGAGGGCTGGGCAGACTGTGTCTGTTCTATAATTAAGATTGCAATCTGGGAGAGAACCCCCCGGGATCACAGAGTGGCAGCTTGTAGAAGAGAAGGGAAGAGGCTGGGGACTCTGGAGTCTAAGTGGGAAGGACTGGAGAGCCGCCTGGGCTGAGGGGATTCCAGGGCTTGTTGACGAACTGGGTGAGGAAGCCCAGGAAGTTGTTCTTGGTCAAAGCCACGGTGATGTCCACCTGCTTCCATGGGGCCTGCAGCCCCAACCTGATTCCTAGAAAGGCTATGACTGCTTAGGACCTGGCACCCAGTCTGCACTCCCTGGACTGTGCAGGACACTAATGCCTCCTTGTTCTCGGCCAGGCATTTTCAGTGCTCTCAACTGCTGGTTGCCTCTTTGCATTTTGATTCTGAAGGACTCATATCTGGCCCCACCTTGAATGAAGTAGGGTAGTTAACATTTATGCACTTTGTTTCATTTTAATTTCTTGGTGCATTTTATTGCTCTGTTCCACCTTCCTCTGGACAGTGAAGCTTCCTTGTGAGCCTAAGTGGCAGCTAGGGTGGCATGAGTCACTCAAGACCCCAGCTTCACTCTCTGAGGAAGCAGGGTCCTCTCTGCCTTTCTTTTGTAGCAAACCTCAGGTGCTGTCATGAACAGGGCTCTGATCCTTCGTCACAGGTGTGAGAGTGAGAAATCCTAGCCGGGCCTTGGCCCTTGCCTCCTGATGCAAGCCACATCATGCACTCCCTGGAGTTGATGACTATCATGAAGGTAGAGTGCTGAGTCCAACCTCGCCTCAAAAATAAATAAATAAGTAAGATGAAAGTTGACAACAGAAGCCAACAGGATCTTAATTAATTTGCAAATCATTCTTCATTCCGTTGCCTCTGTTTCTTTGCGTTGATCTTTATCATTGAGTGTAATTCCGAGATAGTTACCTGCCAACACATCACCGTTCTGATTAATCTGAGCTCTGCACGACAAGATCTCAGCTCTTTTACTCTCTCAGCAAAAATGGGTCACTGTGTCAGTCTGTAGCCATATCCCTCTTCCCTCAGCTAAGCCTTGGCAGTCATACGGACAGAAAGACAAGGCCACCATCAGAAGGCAAGTTCCTCAAAGTACCATTGACTCCATGGTGATCTGAGAGTGACGGGTTAGGGTGAGTGAGCATACCTTTGTTCTCTCTTGTCAGTTTGTCAGCCATGTCCCAGTGTTCATAGCCTCTCAACACATTGCTAGTGATGTTGACGTGGCTGGCAGCCATGTGGTGAATGCGCTGCGGAATGGTGACCGGGCCGTTGTTACAGTTCCCCATTGTGTTGATGGGAGAGACGTTGTTGAGCGACACTGGGGATGGAGTGTTCCTAGGGAATAGAAAGAGACAAGTCCTGTTAGGCTGGCAGGGAAGAAGGGCGGCTCAGCTGTAGGCCTCTCTCATCCTACTGCGGGGACCTCAGCAGAATACCATTCGCCAGAGGAAGGGTTAGCGTGCTGTATGTATATGAAGACCCCGTGGAGTGTAGCTTGTTCCCATATCCCACCAACTCTTCTTAGAGGGGGACATCCTAGAGCTTTTGTTGACACAACAGCTTTCTCCAGAGGCCCCAGCATAGAGAGAGCTGATTTCCACCCCATCCCTGCCTCATCTGACCAACCCACACAGAGCTCCAGGGCCAAGCTGTAGAGTGAGACCCCTTCTCTTTTCCTCAGAAGAAAGGCTGGTGACCGATGTCCATTGAAAACCCTGCGGAGCACAGTTCTCCTCAGACACACGTGGCGGCACATGAGTCAGAGTTGACTCAATGACAACTGGTCTTGTTTTGTTTTCCTCTCTCTCCATTCCTAACATTAAATGAAGATGTTCTCATTACTTTGACAACCGTTGACGGGTCCAACTACACTGTTGCTTTTGTTGGTGAATCTTTCTCTGGTATGTATTCTACCCCACAATGCAGCTCTTACTTTCAGTATCTAGAATAAATGTTGCAATGTTTCAGAGAAAGAAACAGCACAGAGCTAGCTCTACCTGTCACCACACTCGCAGTTAGAAAACACTAGATGTGCAGTCTTGGTCTATTATCACGACATTTTGTGGAAACCACAATGACAGTGTGCTCCAAATGCAGTCACCACACTCAGCAAAGGATTCAGAATCTCTCTCTAGGATTCTGTCAGATGTCCTGCACAGAGGGACGATTAACTGCACACCAGTTTATCAAGGGAAGTCTTCAGACTTCCCACTTCCGCCATACTAATGTTTAGAAATAGGTTTCCATGTCCTCCTTCAGTGTCAGCAACAAGGAGTCACCTGCTGGCTGCACACAATGTGGAGGTCATGTTTCCTCCAGGGCCTGAACTTAGGTTGGCCTACTGCACACTGACTGGGGACAGTCTCGACAGCATGGTGGCTTCCTGATCACATGGGCAAGGTTTGTGTGTCTCTCGGTCTCCGTGTCTTTCTGCAGTTACACTTTGAACAATTGCCCAGGCAAATGCACCACTTTATGATGAAGGGGTAAAAGAGATGATGGAGAAAAGCTGTGTCTGGAATTCCATGAGCCTGCATGTTTAAATGAACCTTCTCACTCCTCCACACACACCCAGTACATCACTACAGGACCATGGCTCCCTGCCTCCTCTTCCAGTTGTTGTTGGCAACTCTAGAATTCCAGTGTAACTATGTTCCTCAAAGCCCATGCCTGCTCCCAGAGTGGATGTGTATCCTGACAGGCAGCACACATAGGATTTTGGGGAACCCCCAGTCCCAACGTAGTGAAATGCCAAAATGCTGCTGACGAGGTATGGGAGGCTTTGAAAATGATATGCTCTCCCCATGACTCACTCGGGCTGGGCCCACAGCCACAGTAGAGAGTTGGCCCATTTCTCCAAACAGAATCAATCTTCTGGTCTGAGGGGGATATCGGATCTCTGCTTGGACTCGGCCACATGCCCCTCCCACCTGCTTTGCCTTGTCTGGGGCAGGAAGGTGTGAAGGTTTGCCTGCTGTGGCCTGAAATATCACGTTACTCATTGCCAGAATGATTCATTCTCAAGGCAGTGGTGGGGTGATGGGGTGGAGAGTCTTAGCTGAGGAGCCCAGGCCCAGAAGGGTTACCTAATGACATGATAGCAGTGAATTCTGGATTTCTTCGTTGTAGTTCGTTGCAGATGCTATTTTCTAGTCTTTTCTCCTAGTGGTGGGCATCAGTTCTTAAATGTCAATTCATGGCAAGAAAGGAATATGTTCCCCTTTGTAATCCCTAGGGAAAAGTGCCACCCATGTTGAGAGTGGGACTGTGGGTGCTGTGAAAGAAGGGCTGGGTTTCCAGAAGCCCTGGCTCTGTCTCTTCCCCTCACTGGGCCTGGCTTTCTCCTTCTAAAAGAAAAGGTTGGATTCAATGATTTTCAATCATGTCCAGAAGTCGTAAGGGAAAACAAATGACCTCTCTTGACCTCTTATATCTTGAAAATCCCTTTTGAGTTTATGCTACTGAAGTCTTATTGAGGACCTAGAGTTAACACAATTTTCTTTCCCTTCCAGCCTCTCCCTGCCATTCTTTTTTCTTCTTTCCTTCCCTTCTCTTGTCTCCCCTTCCTTCTCCATTCCTTCCCTCCCTCCATTCTTCCCTCCCTCCCCTCTTCTTTCCTTCCTTTCTACAATCAACAGTGGAAGCAAGACCTTTGGAGAGCTTGGGGATGTGTTTGCCTTGGGTCACTACTGTTCTCACTGTATGCAGTGTGTGTTAACTCTGTGGACGGTGCAAATGGTTTGTGCTCAATCATTAACCTAAAGGTGGCTTGACCCCACCCAGTGGTGTCACAGAAGAAAGGCCTGGCTATCTGCCTCCATAAAGATTGTTGTTGCTATGTGCTGTTGAATTGGTTCCAACTCACAGCGACTCTATGTGCAACAGCATGAAACATCGCCTGCTCCTGCGTCACCCTCCCAATCATTGCTCTGTATGACAGCACGGCTGCAGCCACGGTGTCCATCCATCTCATTGAAGATTTCCCTCCTTTTCTGCTGACTTTACCAAGCATGATGGCCTTCTGCAGGGACTGGGAGCTCCTGATAGCATTTCCAAAAACCAGAGACAAGGTCTTGCCATCCTCACTTCCAAGGGACATTCTGTCTGCACTTCTTCCAAAACAGATTTGTTTGTTCTTCTGGCAGTCCATGGTATATTCAGTATTTGTCGCCAACACCACAATTCAAAGGCAGCGGTTCTTCAATCTTTCTTAGTCACTGTACAGTTTTAGCATGCATATGAGGTGACTGAAAATACCATGGCTTGGGTCAGATGTTCTTTAGTCCTCAAAGTGACTCTTTGCTTTTAAACCCTTTAAAGGTCTTTTGCAGCAAATTTGCCCAATACAATATGTCCATAAAGATTGCAGCCAATAAAACCCTATGGAGCTGTTCTACTCTGTGACACATGGGCTTGCCGTAAGTCAGAATCAACACCACAGCAACAGGTTTGGTTTGGTTATTTATCTATCATCTATCTATCAACTAGATGTCTCCATCCTGTTGGTTCTGCTTCTCTGGGGAAGCTAATGCATCTAAACCCAAACCAAACCCATTGCCACTGAGTTGATTCTGACTCATAGCAACCCTGTAGAGAGAGTAAAACCTCCCCATAGGTTTTCCAAGGCTGTCAATCTTTACCAATGCAAAGCACAAACCAAACCCACTGCTGTCTAGTTGACTCCAACTCACAGCACCCCTAGAGGACAGAGTAGAACTGCCCCAGAGGGTTTCCAAGACTGTAAATTTTTACAAAAGCAGACTGCCTCATCTTTCTCCCACGGAGTGGCTAATTGATGGGTTCAAACTTCAACCTTTTGGTTAGCAGTTGAACGCTTAACCACTGCACCACCAGGGGCTCCTTCTAATATATCTAAGAACCTACAATAGTAGCCTCGATCTTGCCTCTTGGTGCACAAAGCCCAAAGCAGTGACTATATAGTCCTTTACAGAAAACATTTGGCATCGTCTACTTTATACCAAGCTGACTTTTCTTCTCCTTCTTCCAAGTGCTTCTTTGCCAGGACCACTTCTTCGCAGGCATTTGATTGTGTAGATCATAACAAATTGTGGTTAACATTGAGAAGAATGGGAATTCCAGAACACTTAAATTGTACTCATGAGGAACCTGTACATAGACCAGGAGGCTGTCATTCAAACAGAACAAGGGGATACTGCATGGTTTAAAATCAGGA